ACACACAACACACACACACACACACCACACACACACACACACGAGTAATGTGCCGTAAATCAGCAGGCACCAGTCATCGTCTGCTGTTGTTGTTAGTCCAGCCGTAAGTCTCCCATATCCTTCCGCCAAGAGGGCCCTTCAAGACGCCGATGATTTCAAAGTCAAGTGGAGCGGGTCGGCTGTAAAACGCCATCGGTTTTGCTGATGAGCGCACATGTGTTCTGGGTGACAATGATCCAGGCACAATGAACTCAGGAGGAATGTATTTACCACTATCTTCAGCAAGCTGGTTTACCTCAAATGCCTTACGGAGAACAAAGAGGACAAATAAAGACGGATAAATCCGAGAATAACGTCAAAATATCGAACCTGAGCTTCAGTGCATGAGCAGACTTTTGAGCCTGACAAAAGGCCTCTTATTTTTCCCCTTTTGAGAAGTGTTTAATCTCCATAACAGGCTGAGGAGAGCGGGCAATAACAGTCTGTAAGAGGATAAGTGTGCTAAGCAAACAAACTGAACTTTTGAAAGGACATCCATAACATTCATCTGTCTGCAACTTACAAATTATTTATGTAATAGATCATATTCCAACTACTTGTATAGACTCTCCTTGCACTATTTCTATTCTATTTTATTTGTATTACTTGCACAATTGTATCTGTTTTATTATGTTGCACCGTTGGAGGAGGCTATGACCTAAGATTTTCATTGTCATATCTACACTGTAGCTGTTTACAAATGACAATAAAAGCCTTGAATCTGGAAAACTGCAGTGAAAACCAAACTTCCAAAAGGTGACGATATGGCTGCACATTACCTGAAAACCGCCGCCCTCATCTTCAGACCACGAAGGGCCCCCAGCGGCCCCCATGTTCCTGTGTGCTCACCAGGCATCCTGTCTGAGAGTGGTACCACAGGAAGAGGAGGGGGAAACGGACAAGGCCTCAGAGAGTCTTCGCTGGATAGACGTTCCAAAAGCACTGGATGGATTATATTTCTGCCTCCACACTTCATTTCTGAAACTTAAGTGCTGCTCCCAGTTGCATCTTTTCTCACTTCCATCCTCTCTTAAATGTCTTGCCCATATGGAGGAGTGGGACGTCCAGGGTGGGCTAAAGGAGGCTGCTGGAGACTCCCACTAATCTGTTGGGAGTTTAATGACGGCAGGCCATGCTAGTGCTGGTGAAGCCCCTGGGGGGGGGTTGACCCAAGTCAGGAGGGGGCTGGGCATGTGACCCACACCAGGATAAGAGCCCAACTGCGTGGGGGAGGGTATATGTGTGTGTGCACCTATGTCTGGAGCTAAATGGCCAGTCACTTGAGGAATGCAGACTTTCTGAGCTCAGCCGTGAAAACACGCCAAAATTGAGCTTTGCAGTGGATGAAAGTAGAACAAGAAAAAAAGCCAGTTGTTCCAGTTTGAACCCCTGCCAACAAAAGACACACACACACACACACACACACACACACACACACACACACACACACACACACACACACACACACACACACACACACACACACACACACACACACACACACACACACACACACACACACACACACACACACACACACACACACACACACACACACACACACACACACACACACACACACACACACACACACACACACACACACACACACACACACACACACACACACACACACACACACACACACACACACACACACACACACACACACACACACACACACACACACACACACACACACACACACACACACCTGTTTGTTTGTTGTGTGTGATAGCATACTCTAACAAGCGGCTCATTACCTTTGGTGTCATATCGTCACAGAACACATTTGTCTCCCAGTGCAAAGGCTATTAGTTCAATGCAAACCCTATTTGTGGCGATGGGTGAAAAAGCTATTTAACACACTCATTTGCATAAATGTTTGATATCTTTGGCTGGCTTTCATCATCCAATACTGCTATGCTTTGGTCTGATTTCACTTCCATCCTCATGATTCAAAGCACAACCTCAATTAATTAGCAAATCAATTGTTGCCTGAGGTCAAACACATCCAGGTCTATTTAACAGATGGGATGTCCACTTAACAAGATTTGCGGGCGTTATCTCCAAAGAAACATCGATGAACTGAGGTCCCTAATGCGCAACAAATACAAAGCTAAAATCAATCAGGAGATATGGATGAAGGTCTCGCAGTAGAGACACAAATAATGTCGCATATGAAGCAGTGCTTTTGGGTAGGAAGTAGAAATCTGGGCAAAGGTTCATGGGAAGACACTTGCTGGTGGCCTGGTGACCGAGTTCTCTTTTTTCTGGCTTGTAAGTCTCTAATTAAAGTGACCTCGCTGACGTCCCATCTGCCACCATGGCACGGAGCCACCGATTATTGGCTGTCATGTAAACATGCTAATCCACTGAAGAGCCAGGTACGAGTAAACACAATCATCCAGAGATGGCAAAAGTACACACATCCTTTACTCAAGTAGAAGTACAGATACTCGTGTTTTAAATACTCTGGTAAAATTAAAAGTACTGACTAAACTTCTTTACTCAAGTAAAAGTAAAGAGGCTTTGAAATGTAATTCAGTAAAAAGTACCCATAACTAGCAGCTGTTTTAAAGAGTACCTGACCTCCCTTTATATTAATAGAACAATAACGTCATTGTTAGCTAATGAATGTTTCCATGCTGAACAACGGCAACATGACAACGTTTCCATTGGTCCCTCTTCTTTAGAGAAGACCAGGAAATGATGGATACACGGATCGTGTTCAAATCAATAGGCACGCAATGACTCTAAAGAATAATGATCACGCATCAAACACACATTCAGACTAAAGGAACCAGCTGTTTGGGAAATGAGAGAAGTAGAAAGTACAGGTATTTGGGTTCAACATGTAAGAAGTAGAAAGTACAGGTATTTGTGTTCAACATGGAAGAAGTAGAAAGTACAGGTATTTGTGTTCAAAATGTGAGAAGTAGAAAGTACAGGTATTTGGGTTCAACATGTGAGAAGTAGAAAGTACAGGTATTTGGGTTCAACATGTAAGAAGTAGAAAGTACAGGTATTTGTGTTCAACATGTAAGAAGTAGAAAGTACAGGTATTTGTGTTCAACATGTAAGAAGTAGAAAGTACAGGTATTTGTGTTCAACATGTAAGAAGTAGAAAGTACAGGTATTTGTGTTCAACATGTAAGAAGTAGAAAGTACAGGTATTTGTGTTTAACATGTAAGAAGTAGAAAATACAGGTATTTGGGTTCAAAATATAAGAAGTAGAAAGTACAGGTATTTGGGTTCAACATGTAAGAAGTAGAAAGTACAGGTATTTGTGTTCAACATGTAAGAAGTAGAAAGTACAGGTATTTGTGTTCAACATGTAAGAAGTAGAAAGTACAGGTATTTGTGTTCAACATGTAAGAAGTAGGAGAGTAAAGTACTAATACCAGAAAAATGTACTTAAGTACAGTAACAAAGTATTTGTACTCCACTACTTCACACACACACACACACCCCCCCTTGCTTGGTACAAAGAGAACGACTTTGTCAAGTGAGACTGAAATCCTGTTAGTGTGTTGCTGGGTCCACCTTTGCGTTCCCTCAGGACTCACGGAAACATCGAAGACGGAAAATTAAAGCCATCCAGCATGATGACAATGAGCAACGCAACTACAATGAGAAGAGCTGAGTGAGGTGGAGAGGTTGGGAGAACGTCCGCGGCTCGATAAGCTCTTTTTGAGGACATAATGGAATCTTTGTCTGTCTCGCCAGAAGCCACCCGGCAACCATCCATCTGGGCGACCCCTGCCATTGCGACAAATTCACCTGTCTCCTTTGGGGACCTGTACAGGACCCAATCAGGGATAAGCTTTTCCCTTCTTAATAGAACTGCAGGTTACTCATACTGCTACTAATTCACCACTACAGTACATCGTAGCCCAGCCAGGAGGGAATGCACTTCACAAATATAGTCACTTTTTCCTGGCAAAGTTCCGAGGAGATACTCGTGTCTAACCAGCAATCCAAGGAGACGTGGAAAGGTGCAGCCGGCTTTGTTTATAGGTACAAAATAGCTTGAGACAGGTTTATACATGTCTCATTGATGATTTAAATACCTACGACTGAAGTCATGATATACGAAATGGAACATGCATCATCTCAAAAGGTCACAACCTGTATGGACTGCTGCTGGCATTAGAAACAAAGAGAAATTGGGTGAAACAAACTGCACGTATAAGTTGTTTTTCCAAAAAGGGTGTAAGGAAAATGAACATAAGTGAGAATCACCACTTACTTAAACTCACTGGAACATTTTGAATATGAGATAAATCTCTGCGAAGGGCTCTTAAACTTTGTATTCTTCCCTTGGCGGTGACTCTGCCCTCGTCTGCACTCCAGCACTGGGACCATTAAAACGTACAGGATTTTCCGCACCAACTTAATGAGAAGATAAGCAGTTAATGTGAAATCCTCTGGACTACCTTTTTTTTAAGTGAAGCACTGAATGCCTATCGCCTAATTAAGGCATCAACTCGGCTTCAACTCTGATCTGCCGTCCCTCCTCGTCACACTTCAGCGATTGTTTGAGCACTTAGGACCTTTCAAAATAATGCATCATCATGTATTTTGCTCAGGACAAGTGACTAAAAGAAAGTACTCTTGTGGAAAACAAGAGCCAGAACGCTGTATTGATTCTGTGCTGATTGCAGGAAATTGCTGCTAAAGGTCAATTACTTTTGGAGAATTGTTGTTTATTTGTCTGATCCATGTGTTATTAGATCTATATTTTTTGTATTTCTTTGGCATTTTATAAGAATGCGTACGGAGGAAAAAAGAGAGGGTTTTGTTTTCTGACACTTTGCGAGTTCCCTGACACACCAGGGACACATATTTATGTATAAAAGACATCAAAAAGTGCATTTTGCACGATAGGAGACCTTTAAAAGGCGGACCGCATGCGTTCAAAAAGTCAAGTACACTCTCTGCTTTCAGGCTCTTTTACCTGGAGAATTGCTGCTGCAGTGAAACCATCTGCGCCTGTCCCAGCTCCGACTCCTCCGTCACTTCCCGGAGACGCTTCTCGCTCTCCAGTCGCAGGCGTCGCTCTTCCTCTAGCTCGTGGATCAGCTTTTCTCGCTGTGGACACAAAACAAGAGCGTTGAGCTGGTGGCGTAAAAGGATCAACAGATCATCCCCGAGTCATATATGTTCCTTAAGTGTAAGTCCATGACAGCTTTTAATGAGTTGCTGGGGTCAGAAAATATCCAACATCCTGTCATTTCTCCTTAGCGGTGAAAGAAAATAAAAGAATAAGCGCATGGTGACATTTAAAGATCTCCCATCATGCTATTTTTAGGCATATATTATGCGTCTCAGATATATACAAATATTTAAAAAACATGTCTATGATGCATTTTGCTCAAAATACCAAACAGATCATGCATTTTAGACATCCCTCATATCCCTCTATGTCAGCCCTGTTAGAGAAGTGCTGATTCTGGGTCAGTAGCTAATGGCCTCGCCCCCTTTTGAGCACGGCAAGGCAAGTAGTGAGGTCTCCTCTCTGCTTGCAGATACTCAGCTAAACGCTGCCATGATTAAACGCCATATCATGTTCCAAACGACATCAAAGATTATTTCTGAAACAGTATCAAATGTTTTTTCTCTCTCAGGTTTACCACAAGGTGAGTTCCTTTTTTTATTTCCTGCTTTTTTACACATACAGTACTCTCTCCAGTAGAGGTTAGCTCTGAGTGTTAGCGATGCTTGCTAATGTAAACAAAGACCATATTACTTCCAAAACACGTCACACATTGTTTCTGATAGCGACGTTTCTGATAGGGCCGTGGGCGTAAAGCCAGCTCACATTTTTGATATTACGTCATATCGGCAGAAAATCTGGATCAGCTCCGTCGTACCCCCGTTTTTAGAGATTTGGTTACGGAGGGAAAGAGAGAGGGTTTTGTTTTCTGACACTTTGTGAGTTCCCTGACACACCGGGGACACATATTTATGTATAAAAGACATGAAAACGTGCATTTTGCATGATAGGAGACCTTTAAATGTAAGTCCATGACGGCTTTTAATGAGGTTACTTTTGCTGTGGACAGAAAATATTCAACATCCTGTCAAAGCTTTAGCGGTGAGACATTTAAGCTAGCAGATTGGCATCACTTCCATAGTTTGTTGTTACTTTGAAATGTTCTAATGAACCCCCCCTTTTCTCCTGTTGCTGTGACAGAAAGTTCACAGTAAATGTCAGCATACTCTGTAGAAAATGCACACAAATGCAACAACAGCCATGGATAGCCTTCAAACTGTGCTCCTCTCTGCATGCTTTATTTATTTAAAAATATTATTACTTTGTATTTATGCAAAATTCAGAAGCTAGAGTTCATTAGCAGGAGGCATATATAACCTAAAAGTTACAATTCCTTTAGTTTTTACATTCTTTTGTAACCTCATTTATGACCTATAAGTGTACTTTTAATCTAGGTTTGGTTGAGAGTACCCCATCACCCTCATGAGGAAGTCTGTGGAGGTTTCCCCGGATTACATTACCACATTTATCAGTCTTTTTTCACCAGAGACAAGTCAAAATGGAGGCTTCTTTTTTCTGATTTTAAATTGGATTCTTCTCAGTCTGATGGCCACCTGCTCCCAAAAGAAAGAAGAGTCCTCGACTTCAAAGACTGTGGCCCTGTGCTGGCACGCTCCCTCCTTCAGGAGAGCAACATTTGGCATTGAGAGGGACTTTTTTCAGTCACACACTTACAGAGGAGCTTCGAGCAAGGCTGAGGATTTCAGCAGTCTCAAAGTCTCCGCACAAAGCCTGGCATCTACAGCTGACAATTATGGTTTTGCAATTGGCCCCATTTTCCTTGGCGGAAGAGTTAGGTGATCACCTGTCACTGTCTTGCCATAAAAATGCAAGTTAGTAAAATAACAGGAAATGAGTTTGAGGGGAAAGATAAGTGACTGGAAGAAAATGTGGAAAGTTGCTTTTTTTTTTGCGAAGTTATTGCTGAGTAAGATATTTGAAATAGCTGTGCACTTAAAGGTGGGGTAGGTAATTCACTTCAGAAACACTTTGTTATATTCCATGGAATGCTCTTAACACCCCGATAGCAATGAATACATTAAATGCTTTGACAATAAATATATTAAAACATTTCATCTGTGGAAGCCGTGGTGCTGTAAAAAGCACGACCAATCATCTGAGCCGGCCCGGCTAAAATAACTGGACGGCCTACCTGCCTGTCAGCCTTCCATCTGTGCACAAACTTATCTCGTGCCCTCATTGGTCATGTGCGCGTTCGTGTGTGTTGGAGGAGGGGCTCTGTAAGGAAGTCTGAAGGAAGGGGCAGATTTGTTTCGGCTGCGTACTTTCAAATTCTAGCGCACTCGAGCTGGTTTCTCCATTCTTACCTACCCCACCTTTAATCTCATTTGTAAAGCTGGAAAAAAGTTAAATAAATTCTACAAAAAATGATTCAATCATTTGACTTTCATGCTGTACATTTAAGAATAGAATACAATAGAATAGAATATATCTTTATTGTCGTCATACAAAGTACAACAAAATATCTTTGGCAACTCTAACTGCAGTAAAAAATAGACACAAATAAGAGTGGTAAAAGCAGAGGTAGTAGCGATGACAGTGCAGCGAGATAACATTCAATGTTAATGTGCATATTTACACTTACAGTCTAAAAACGATATACATGTAGTGTATATCTAACTGTGTGTTCCTAAAGGGTTATAGTAACCAAAGGATGCAAGTCAAATAGCCATACATATTTCTAAATAGTAGTGGTTGGAGTCTTTGAGGAGAAGAGAGGAGTATCCTGTGTATGATGCCTAATTTATTCAGTATGGATACTGAATGTTAAGACTCTACATCATCTCTGCGTATTAGGCACCAATCATGGTGTGTCTATATTCAGTGTGAGGCTTCAGAAGTGCTTTTTACACACAAGCATTATGGGGACATCTAGTGGTGTGAAAGAGTCAGGAACGCTGACTGAAAAATGGGTATATGGACGCAAAAATAGTTGATGTTTGTCTTTCGCCTCAGCGTATCATAAACATGTGCAGCTATGATTTAAATCTACACCGTAAAAATCACACCGCAAAGAAAAATACTAAAACAACAGGAAAGCATGCTTGTAAATTACCAAACATTTTAGAAAATGTGACCACAGTGCCATGAATGCAACCAATGAATCATATTTCATTACAGTATAGTGTTCCTTGGCCAGGAATTTCTGTCACAAAAGCAGATTGTAACTGGGTGAATGGGTCGAGGAGAGGGAATATTAACACTGAGACACCATTAAAACCAGTTCTGGTGCTCACTGCGGCTATAAATTCAGGCTCTTTACACAACAGGGAGCCTCTCGCTGTCAGGAGTAATGGGCGCTGTAAATCCAGCCGTACAGAGGCATTAAATAGAACATCCCCCTGCCAAGAGCCTATATATCTGGAGCAAAACCAATGACTTTCTGGCTATTCTTCACATTCTCTCCTTAAAGAAATAAAATCAGCGTGTAGAGGAGGTCATCCCTATACAGAGTAGTCGAGTACAAATACTTTGTTACTGTACATTTTTCTCCACTACTTATATTTACTTCTACTTTTACCAGAGTATCTGTACTTCTACTTTTACCAGAGTATCTGTACTTCTACTCGAGTAAAGGATGTTTGTACCTTTGCCATCTCTTTCCCTACAGAGCATATTACCAATGTTTACTTAGAGTACATATGTTCCCTAAGCCACTTTATGATACAAACATCCATAAAAAGTACCTCAATGCAGGCACAAAGGGCTTTTCTCCTCTGCACCATGTATTAATGTGTACACTGTTATTCAGCAAGTTGGCCTGGATTCACACAAAAGCACGGTGGCTTTGGTCCTGATTTTTGTTCCTAACCTACCCCCCCCAGCATAAACCATAGACCACTGTGTGTCTGCTGACAGAGTCTTGCCAACAACCTCAATAACAACACAGGATTTATGGTCTACATTGTAGTAAAAGCCCTCTATTGCTTTTGTTCAATATATAATTTCAGCAATTTAACAAGGCCCAAAGCCATTAAATCAAACATTACCATATCTTTATGTGGCCAGAAATCCCTAGCAATACATTACAGTTTTTCTCGGTTGAAATGTTTATAGTCTACGCAAACTTCACTGCCTTTTTTTCTGTGGTAAAGAGTATGCTAATTGAAAGCATATTCTTTATTTTGAGACCTTACGAAGGGCAACACGCCTTATGCAATGCCCTGGGAAGATATAACCGTCAACACGGTGATGGGATGTGAGCGAAAACAGGCTGGGCAACTTTCTGTGAGAACGTTGACTTGTAGTTAATCCGATGATTGAGGAGATAATCCTCTCACTTGACTGTATGTCATGGCTGTGGATGGATGAGATGCACTACCCTGTTTTTCCTGCGGAGGGCAACATGTTCCTGATTTAAAACTGGCAGCAACGATCAAACAAAGCCAGCTCTATCAAACAATACAGTGGTTGTGGGGGGAAAAAAGCAATATCAAATGGAATAGGCTAAGTAATCTATAAAATGGCCCAGGCAGGATTTTATACTGGTCTACTGAGCCATATATTTGCCCAGATTGGGTGTTTCAGGATTACATTTGACCTCTGTCGGGCTGCTTTTCATTTCCTGGTTGATCAAAAAATGTATCCATCTAGATATGACAGAATTTATCACCATCATGTTAAGCTTGGGATTGAATGGACTGCTGGATGCTATTGATTTTAATACACTAAAATGTATCGAAATAAATGAAAAATCCGGGATAAAAGAGACAACAAATGTATGTGTGTAACATATACAGTAATACGGCTTCCTCCCGTCCGTATCGACATATACAATTGTATTATCTGCAGTGGAGCCCAGAATGAACCTTGCCTCTGTAATTGGACAGCATTAGATGGTAATGGTATTCATCCTAGCTGAATTACTAGAAGACTCGTGCCCCCCTGATACCCACCAAGACCCACAGAGGACTCTAAATTAATTAGAGACCCCTGCCTTTCCTTGTTGTGCCTGCAATGCTGCCTCCAATAAAAGAAAAAGCTACAATATGATCAGGTTAAGTGCATGTGTACA